CCTTAAGTTCCTTCATTGTGCAATCAATGTCCTCTTCAATTTTCCAAGTGTTGAATTTGATCGTCAATATTGCATCCAATAGCCAATTTGTTCTTCATCATTTTCCATTTGCTCTGACCCAGTCCATCACTAGAAACAAAATAAAATTAACTCAGGCTAAATAAAAATTAATAAATTGACAACATAAAAGTTTAATAATACGACCTAACATAAGTGTACAGATTGCACTTATCGAATACCCATAAACTTAAACATTTGTTCGACCTCGAACAAAACTACGACCTAAATAATAACACACAAACATGCAAAAATATTTGATTGAACAGTCTAACTTTTTACCTCAAGATTTGAGATCACCGGATTAAATCTACAAACCGTTTCAGAGTCGCAACACCAAACCAATATCCACTTTTTTAATGCAAAACCGGCGCATGTGTGTGAAAAACTAAATTAACATTAACAAACTCACAAGTTCCAATTTCCGACCCTCTAAAGTCAAATATATCTTTTCATCTCTCGTAAAATTCACAAAACAACGGATACAATCAATGAAACAAACCGGGACAGAGAAAAGAAAAAGTTGCTACTTCATGCGTATTGTTATCTTATCCTTAATAGAGATGTATCACCAGTTAGATAATAATCATAGATATTATTATTCCTACTTTATTCCCTGTCTGCAAAACAAAGCAGAAAGATTTGGTAGTCTTCACTTTGACTAGTGAAGAAAGAAAAAAAAATAAAAATAAAAATAAAATATTACTCAGATATTTTCCTAAAAATGCCTTCTTATCATGGTTAAGGTAAAATGTGTTACTAAACCTTCAAAAGGCCTTTACGTTACAAGGAACCAGCACATGGAGCTACAAGTAACTTTTCAGGTATTGAACTAACTAGCAGAGAACAGAGCGAGTGAGAAAAAGGAATAATTTAATGAACGAAAACTGTCTCATACTTTCATAAAGTAAAGCTTTTCATCATTTTCTTTCTCCTGCGTGATCTTGAAGGAATAATTTAATGAACGAAAACTGTCACATACTTTCATAAAGTAAAGCTTTTCATCATTTTCTTTCTCCTGCGTGATCTTAAAAAACAATTCCCTCTATAGATTACACCTACCGAATGGTCGAATCTCTTTGAGAATAGACTTACGAGCAGGTACCGGCCAGGCTATGAAGTTGACAACATTACTAAAACGAAAATTTAAACCTTTAGTCATTCTTCAGGGACTGAGAGTTGTATGTATGATAATAAAAACACTATTAATTGCCTTGAAGAACACCAAACTAACTACAATATCACTGTTTAGGAAATAGGGATAATGAATTTCTTCAAACAAAGTAACAGATAAAATAAGAAAAACATATAATCTATCTATCCGTAAGTTGCTTATATGCTTATAAGTTATTCTACATTGCCTGGCAAAGAGGCTTCAGCTTTTCACCTACTTCGTAGTCCCATCTGTCTTCATACAAGTGTAAGTTGGAGCTTCTCCCTGTTAGGTTGAGGCATTATGACATTAATGTGAATTCTCAGTGTCTGTAAAACACTATAAGAAACACTGCCATCGATTTTTTTAAGCTTCTGCTGTTGCTCATCAACAAACCATTCTCCCGTCTTTTCACCTCCAGGCGTCAAATACACGGGTCCTTCAATACCAAATCTGCACATAGAAATTTAACTGACGTCATGATCACAACCACATTAACCACTATAAGAATGTTGCTCTCTCCTGGAGGCAAACAATTTGGCTCTATCGAGATGTGCTCCTAGACTTCAACTAAATCATCGTATGGCATTATAATCAGGCATTTGTGCAAGATGTACACCATATCAACTTAAACCTCTGAATATAAATATGGATCTACAACAAATGTGCAGTTATATTCCATTTTCAAAAAGAATGGCCAAGCTTCATTTATTGCCTATATAAATGGGACACTTTATTATGTAATCAAGCTGAACATCAGAGTAGAATGTGAAAATGGTTCTACATTTATTTATGTTCATGCTTAAGCTTCATTTACAGTGAAAATTGTCCTAGAAATGACTTTCGCTTCACGCCTAGTAATGGCGTCAAAATTAATAAAAATGAATAAGATAATAAAAATTAAGAAAAGTGAATGACGTCGAATGAAGAATGCATATAACTTCACAGCCACAAGAGAGAGTAATCATTACTTGGGCACAAAAACGATGAAACCATTTGATCTTAATTTCACTATTCTGGCCTCTGCATCCGTGGGCCTGCAAGAACGCGGAAAGCATTAACACGAGTTAGACAGAAAGAGTACGACAGCGGGAGAGGGAAAGTGTTGGAGAAATAGAGGAAAAAGTTCAGCAGTTAATACATTTTTCGGAAATAAATGAGTGTATGTAGCTCAACAGAGGCCCGACTAGCCATTTGTGCATTTCTATGACGATAATTCAGATCTGTTCAAGAGGAAAAAAAAAATGAGACATGAAGAGCAGCAGAAATTATGCACTCATGATGTTTTAGACTTGAAGGGAAGACATTACATGATCAAAACATTAAAGCATTTCCACACACAATCACACTCGGCAACATTGTTCTCACACAAAGGAATACAACAGAAAACCTCAAGATAAAAAAATTTAGCAGTAAAAGGGATCCCTACCCCCCCCCCCCCCGGGGTAATCAAGAGAAAATATTAAGCTGCGAAACCACTAAATTCCTAGAGCCCATTCTCGATTTAAGATGACAAAAATACATCAGAGAGGAGTGTCCTGAAGTAAAACTATGATGTTGCTAAGGATGTGATTTGTTGAAACCGACCAAAATCTGGAATCAAAAGAGACCTGAATAAACAGCAAAATGAGTAAAATTACCTAATCCATTTCAACTTTAATGCATGCCCTAAATGACTCCATGAACGGTAGATAACTGAAAATTCTACATCCACTCAATGAACCGGAATACATAAATGATTGATTAAAACGAGTCTTCAAATGTACACATAATCCTTACTGTCGGCAGTACTGGTAAGCTGAGGTCTGTTTTGGAATATATCTGGGAGCTTGGTTGTCCCCAAGGATGCAGCAAGCAAGCGGTGTACAATGACATCTACAAGAAAATAAGCTCCAAGCCAAAAAGTAAATATCAGAGCACAGGTTGATAGAAAAAGGACTAAAGATTTAACTGACCGGCATATCTTCTTATGGGAGAAGTGAAGTGTGTATAGAGAGGCGCAGCAAGACCATAATGAGAAAACTCTGCAGGGCTGAGATCTCCGCTACAAAAGTACACTGCCTGAAATTTTTAATTATAAACAAATGAATACCGTTAGGAAATACTTGCAAATCTAAATCCTGAAAAGGGAGAAAGGATAACTGAATCGATTTAACTGGAAGTACCTGTGTCATGCATCTTGTCGCCAGAATGCGAATCAGCTTATTAAAGTACGGATCATCACCCTGATAGTTTTTGGGGGGAAAGAAGGGGACAAGGCAGAGAAAAGGAAAATCAAGTGAACAAAGATACTAGAAATAGATATACATAAAACAAGCAGGTGTAAAAGTTACCAGACAGTAGCAATTACTGAAAGTAATTCGGACAACATAATGCCACAAGAATATTTACATCGAGCTATAAAGAAATGCTCCCACATGCTAGATCCCAAATAAGAGCCAATTTCACAATAATGATAACAACAAACTAAACCTCATTCCCCCTAAAAACTGGAGTCTGCTTTCGATCCTTTTTCGCCACTTCAATTACTAAATTTCCCAAAGAAAAAGTACAATAAAATCAAAAAATTTGTCTACATCTTGCTCTTCCAATTTGTTTTTGTGGTTATCGCATTGGCCTTGGGAATAGCAGCTTTAGGTCCACTCAACTCAACCATCTGAGTAATCCTTCCGTTGTCCCAAAAATATTCAAAGCGCTCCAAAGTTCTAACTGATGATTTATACCCCCCACCAAAAAAATAAATAAAATAAAATAAAAATAAATAAATAAAATAAAATTCTCAACTGTGTAATCAACGAATTGTGAGCTCCTCTACGACACCTCAAAACTCCTTTAGTAATAAAAATTCTCTGCTACTACGGCTACTAGACCTTACATTCATGGTTGCTCCATCATACACATCCTTAATAATAATATCAGTACATCTATCTAGCAGCCATCATAACACTTCCATAGGCACCTTATTGTAAGTTTTTTTCTAAAAAACAAAAATTATAAGCTTGTTTCTGCTCTTCGCACTTTTCCATCAAATCTCCCAAATAGGGGAATGATTTCAGAATGAGTAAAACTAGAAGAGTATCCATTACCTTTAAAGTACAATTTAATCCATAGTCAATCACCCCACAGGTCTCAAATCATACCTTAATCTACGGTCAACCATCATATCCTCAATCTCAAATAATGGAACATAAGTATAATACCTCTGTAATTCATATATTACAATATTTTATTCTTGCAAATAGGAAATATAACACTCTTTTGCCAATCATCTGATATTCAGAAGGTTTATGATCATGTCAGCTAGGGGTTCCTTTTGTATATGCTTAGGCGATGTGGCTTTGAAGATAAATGGTGTAAGTGGATCCAGTTTTGTATTTCTATTGTTTCGTTCTCAGTTTTGGTTAATGGAACACCTGAGGGTTATTTTCGGAGTAGTAGAGGATTGAGGCAAGGGGACCCATTGTCTTTATTGCTATTTGTTATTGTGACAGAGGCTTTCAGTAAAATGCTTGAAAGAGCTGTGGGAGAGGGTTTGATAAAGGGATTTATGGTTGGTCACTTGCAGGTGTCCTATTTGTTATTTGCAGACGATACGTTGATTTTATGCGAGGCAGATTATAAACAATTCAGGAACTTGCGTCATATGTTATTATGCTTTGAAGCGGTGTCCGAATTGAAAACCAATATGGGGAAATTTGAGACTATTCCAGTAGGAGAGGTAGCTAACATAGAGGTGCTGGCTGACATTTTGGATTGTCGGGTTGCGCAGTTGCCTATGTCATATCTATGGCTTCTATTAGGAGCATGATTTACAAGTAGGCATATTTGGAATTGTATTGTGGAAAGGGTGGAGAGAAGGTTAGCAGGTTGGAAGCGTATGTACCTCTCTAAGGGAGGCCGACTTACACTCATTAAATCCACTCTCTCTAATCTCCCTACTTACTTTTTGTCATTGTTCCCTATTTCGGCTGCAGTAGCAGTGGCAAATAGATTAGAGAGATTTCAAAGGGAATTTCTCTGGGCAGGAATGGGGGAGGAGAGAAAACTTCATTTGGTTAATTGGGGTATTGTTTGTTCGCCTATGAGGATGGGGGGCCTTAGAGTTAGGATACTTGTTTTGTTTAATAAGGCCTTATTGGATAAGTGGTTGTGGCGATTTGGAGTAGAGAGAGAACTTTTGGAGAGAAATCATAGAGGAGAAGTATGGTGTGATGAAGGAGGGTTGGTGTACTGTTGAGAGTCGCGGTTCCTATAGGGTGAGTTTGTGGAGGTATATTTGACGGGGATGGAGTGATTTTCAAGACAAATTGAATTTTGTGGTGGGGAATGGTAATGATATCAGATTTTGGCATGATTGTTGGTGTGGTGATCAACCGCTGAAATTAGAATTTCCTTCTTTACACCGCATTTCTCTAGTGCCTTCTGCTATGGTGAGTGATGTATTAGCCATTCATAATGAGAATTACAACTGGAATATTACTTTTGAGAGGGGCCTACAGGATTGGGAGTTGGATGATTATTCGTTGCTTTTTACATCTCTACATAAGGTACAGATTCAGGTAGGAGATAATGATTGTAGCAGGTGGAAGTTGGCACGAGATGGTATCTTTTCTATCCGCACTTATTTTAGATCCCTTTTGGGACCTACGGAGAGTTAATTCCCCTGGAAGCTGGTGTGGCAAAGCAAATTACCTCCACGGGTAGCATTCTTAGTGTGGACGGTTGTAAGGGGACAAGTGTCAACGGTGGATAATCTTCGACGAAAAGGCTTTTATGTAATCGAGTGGTGCTATATGAGCAAAAGGGATGGGAAGACGGTAGACCACTTGTTCATTCATTGTGATGGTGTTCGTTGGCTTTGAAACAATATCCTGGCTTCTCAATCTATGGTTTGGGTGCTCCTAAGGCGTATAGAGGACGTATTGCAGGCATGGAGGCAAAAACTTCGTGATAAGGACAGCAAACTTGTATAGAACCTTATCCCAAGATGCATTACACGATGTGTTTGGAGAGAAAGAAACAACCGCTGTTTCGAAGATCAAATAAGACAATAGAAAAGATTAGGGAAATATTTTATTTGACTTTGTATAATTGGTCTAATGCCGCGACTAAAAATCTTGCAGAAGAGTCGCCTAATTTCATAACGTTCCTCTCTTGCTTAAAGTGATTGTACACATCCCGTGTAATCTCTTTTAACTAATAAAATTATGATTACCTATCAAAAAAAAAAAAAATTCCAACCTTGTGGGATCTCATTCCGATGAAACGGAACTCGTCAATTTCCATCTGTAATACATTTTGCTTCTCCATTTGGTGATATAACTTGTAAACTACTTTCTAGTCCTCAGCAATGTTTAAAAGACTTAATAGGGTATCGAGGTGTTTTACCTTTAAAAGGCGAGAAGCAAGCCTCAAGCCTCAATACAAATTGACATGAAAATACACAAGTATGCTCATAATAAACTATAAACCATCAAATAACTAAACTGTAATCTACTGCTAGAAGTAGAAATAACCCAAAAGTCTCCTATATTGTCACTACAACTAAAAAGGAAATTGTCAATATCCTTGATTCACCTATCATCCTTTTCATCACTATCCGGTTCTTCTCATTTTTCGTCACTATCATCCACTTCGAATGGTGCCTTTTCCTTTTCCTTTCTCCTTCCCATTCCATTTCAGTTCCACACAAACACAGAAAAGAATATTAAAAATAATAATAATAAATAAATAAAATACACCTCATGTGAGGCGTTAAAATACAACTTCCCATATGCTTTTGCCTGAGACCCTTGAATCACTTTCTTGGCTTCTAGTTTAGGTTATTTATATTTCTCAAAAGCCTCATTTTATAGTCATAAGTTTCTTTATCAGGAAACATTAGCCATAAATGCCATATGAACATTCTGGTTCCACCACTATGTTTCTTACTAGATGGGCTTTTTTTATTTATTATCTTTAGCCTCTCTTAATACATCATTTGATAGGTTTCACATATAGCTAGAAATCTCATTCCAGTCATGTTAATATTTCTGTCTACATCCCATTCCTCCCTTTTCAATCTCTATGAATGAAAATCAATCACTTTCTACCATCTCCTATTTTAATACCCACACCTAGCACCAACCTATGTTGTATATTAGGCTGTCATCATGAAGTCACAATCCTTAATGACCTATCCAACACTGAATGATGAAGTCTGTCACACTATTTTTTTCCCCCATTTTTAGAACTTATCAAGAGTCTCCTTTTGAAGTATGTATTAGCCAACATCAAATCATTCTAATTCCTACCAAAACCTAAAATAATATTTGATGCACATTGGAAAGTATATCTAGGCATTAACGAAATCAAATCAATTAAAGATTGAATTTTTATTATTGCATTTTATTGTTTTGGTAGAATAGTGAATTTGTCTCCTTTCAAAAGGAAATCGTTCACCTGCGTTGTTGAGTAAGTTTCCTGTTATTTCAAAAAAAGAAAAAGGAAAAAAAAAAAAAAAGTACGTTGCTATTGTTGTTCATTGAAGTTATGCAGTTCTTCAAAGTCATAATAATATCCCTAGCCCATTTACACCTTATCCAACCCAAGCAGCTACCCAAAACCAATACACGCTAAACCCAATTCCAACCAGCCCCTATTCTCAGCCATTGCTAAGACTTCTTCGGCCCACTACAATAAATCATAAGGTAAAGCCCAATTACCAACAAAATCTACTAACCCAAACTTCAAACTCATAGCTGCTATTCTTCGTTGCCGTCAATTAAAAGTCTACTGCCAGATTATCAAATGCCAACTCCACTCGTTCGTCCCCTATTATTGGTAAGGTTTAAGTTTGCTTTTGAAAACTTTATTTTCATTTGAGTTTTGGCTTTTCAGTAGTTTGTCTTAGTTCCAGTTAAGATTTATATAAATATTGTTTAGATGGTTTTCTATCTCATGTGTAAACCGACATAAGTATTTATAAAAAAAAATTCACATTTATTTAAACTGCACCTCTTAACACATTTTTAAACTCATCATAACATAATGAATCTTAAAGACCTTAACTAATCTCATTATGCCCCCCTCACAGCAAGTCAAAAATCTTTCATATGATATTAGTGAAATCGGATCTCGCTGAGCTTAAAACTCTTATCCAAAACCTTACTGGACAGACTAGACAATCATCTCGGAACCCACGTAAACGTCCTACAGATGATTTATCCAATTCCTCCACCATTGGTCAAAACATCTACGAACCACTCCTCTGCACCCTAGACGGCATACTACCTAATCCATAAAATCTTGGTCCTACACAAAACATTATCTATCCAGAACTTCATGACCCAGTAGTCAATAATGCTCCTCGCCCTAAACTACTACCTCCAAATCCACGTTATGATCAACATAGGGACCTTGCTGATGATGTTACTATGAAAGTTAAAAGTACACGCCCTGAATTTGATGGTCGTCTGGACCACGAAGCCTTTCTTAACTAGCTTGACTCCATCGAAGAATACTTCGATTGGTACCAAATGCCTAATTATCAGCTTATTCATTTCGTCAAAATGAAACTTGTCAAATCTGCTAAACTCTATTGGCAAACTGTGACACAATCCCTCAACTCAACTCTTTAAACGCCTTCTTAATCATTGGTAAAACTCATCAACTGTGTCGGACTACAAAACTCGTTTTGATGAATTACTATACCGTTCAGGCATTGCAGAGCCCAAGGATATCACGATCACTAGGTTTGTTAACGCTTGCGACCGGACCTCAAACTTCAAGTTCTTGTACTCAATCTTTGACTCGTTGGAAGATAGGGATGTAAAATCAACCGAGCAGCTCGTCCGCTCAGCTCATTAAAACTCGGCTCATGGGTGGTTCGAGCTGGTCAAATGACAAGTGCCCACGAGTCATCAAAAATGTGCAAATTTACAAAAAAAAAATTAAAAAAATCATGAGCTCGTGAGCGGCTCGTGCGCTCGGCCTGCAAGCTCGTGGGTTAAAGGGCCAAGCCAGCTCGGCTCGACCCATTGTCATCCCTATGGAAGATGCTTTTCATAAGGCACTCAAACACGAACAATACTCACGTTCTTCCTATTTGCCGCATGGCCCTCCTAGTGGCCCTGCGTCAACCCAGACCCACTCAACTGTTGGATCTTTCTCCAAGCCTATTACTCGGGACACCTCGAGTTTCTACATCTCAAATTGTATGTCATAACTATCATGCTGGAGGTCATATTGCCTCTCAATGTAAATCGTGCCTTCGCCCTTACACAAAAACTCTACTTCCAACCCTATAAAATGAGTTTCACGATCGATCCTATTGACCATTCTGATGAGGATCTTGACCAATTTGAGTGTTCTGAGTAGAATGCGGCTATTGTATCCATTATGAAATGTATCATTTCCACCCTTATTTGACTCTAACTTGTGGAAATGAACTTCTATTTTCCATACATTCATCCCATGCAATTCTCATTCATGCAAGTTAGTTATTGACGGGGCAACACCATGACTTTCGTATCCAAGTCCGTTGTCGCCAAGTTCGGCTTTAGAATCGAACACATCCTCGACCTTCTAAGGTGACGTTAGTTGATCGAAACTTTTTACCCATCACTCACCGCTATCTAGTGCCCCTTATGTTAGATCTTTTTTTTCAAAGGACATTTACTGTGATGTCTCACCTATGGACGTTGCTCACGTCCTTTTGGGTGGCTATTGACTTTATGATTATGATGCTAAGCATTTCGGGCGCGACAACACGTATGAATTTCTCCAAAACGGCAAAGCTATTTATCTCTTATCGGCCAAACCCTCTGACCCTCCAAAGAAAGCAACACCTATCTCCACACCCTAGGGTGTAGCAGACGCTCGTATTCAAGAGCATGAAGGTTAAGATATTGGGCTTATATTTGCCTTGGTTGCCAAAGCTTGTTCACAACCCTCTTTTGATTCTCACATCAACTTCCCACCCAAGATAACTCCTTTACTCAATGAGTTTCGCGATATAGTGCCTGTTAAACTACCTAATAAGCTTCCTCCTATGCGGGGATATTCATCATGTTGTCGATCTTGTTCCTGGGTCCTAGTTGCCAAATCATCCCAATTGTAAAATGAAACCTGCTAAGCAAGCTAAACTCAATAGGAAATGCACTAAAATATTTGTCCTGTTTTCAATATAGTAGATTTATATCCTTATCGAGGCACATTCGAGCTTCGGTATTCTCGTCTAACATTTCTGCATGGCAATCTTCTCGATCGCCTCCTTGAGCTCCAGTTATCATGTTTTCCCTGCAAGATGTCGTTAATGAGGTACTTGATGATCAGTTTGTTGCTTCAAAAGGATGGTGATTTTCGTAGGTGGTACGTTAGAAGACGACATACTTGAATATCATTTAAAACTACAATCTTTCCGCCATTTCTCTCTTCGTACTTTTGTCTTTATTATTTTCACTCTTTATGATCTGCATCAATATTACCTTCATTCTGATCCCCTAAGACAAAATTTAGCATTATGAAATCTTTCATAACATTAGTTACATTTACCTACATTAATATTTAAATCTTTCCCAAAAAGGGATTTCTTGAATTAACCACCCATGTCTTCCCCAAATTGTTGATTTGATGTCTTATTGAATTTGTGAAGCATACATACATATAATACCAACAACTCATACTTTAAAAAGAAATCTAACTAATAATAGTCATATCGCTGACCTGTTTAACTATTATTGTTTCATTCTTTATATTCACGTCGTTCATTATTCTTATCCCATTTCTACTATTTTCCTTGCCTATATCAAGTTTTAATCGTGCATTACCTAACTCATTTTGCCTTCTCTTCATCTGTTTAACGCATCAGTGTGCCATAGCTCCCAAATATTTTCAAAATTTAAGAAGCAGATAGATTTCTCTTTGTAGAATAAAATGTGTTCATTTCTACACTGGAATTTGAGTAAACCTATTTACATATTCATGCATCCCCTCTTCTCCAGTCAACTAACAGGAAGTTGTCACAGTGACAAACTAACACCATCTTGCTACGTTGGCCCATAATTTGTAGAATGGTCCTTATGGTGAGGCAGCTAAGCTTGCAGTTCAGCATAGCACTCATCAGATCATACTGAGATGTAAATCACATCAGAAAATCGAAGTATCCTCAAATGGCACTCATCTTAATTCTGATGCTTCATAATATTCTACCCGGAATTCTAACTAATGTCAATTTCAGTCTCCACTTTCTACACATCATTCCTAGAGCATGGTTTCTAAAATAAAACAGCAGAACCAATTAAACCTTATAACCAATGAACTGCTCCTCATCATACCAGTTCTCGATTTTTGACCAATGGAATACCAAATTATTTCCTAATAATTTTTCATTTTTCATACAAGTATTCTAACTCGTTAAGAGAAACAGGTTCGATGGAGTGCTAAAATAAAATAAAAAACTTAAGGTTTCAGCTCAGGAAAGTTGGGTGGTGTTATGTCAAAATTGTATTTTGGTTATGTTTTGGGTAGTTTGAATAAAAAGGAACTCCAAATTTTCTGAAGGAAAAACTACATGGCTATTTAGGGAGAGAGCAAAGTTTCTGTCTTCTTTAAAGGTTATACATCTATGGAGTTTCAGGATTTCTCTTTATCTTTAGTATGCTCTTGATTGTAAAAATGTGATTTATTCTTGATTTTTACCTTTTTTGGGGAAACTTGTATTTGCAAGAGGACTAACTCTTAACTAGATGTGTGAATCTTTATATCATGGTTAATAAGATTTATGCAATGAACAAAAAAAAAGACATGTTACCTAGGATGGAGTGCCTCGATAAATTTTGGTCCAAAATTTTGTCTAAGAAAGAATCAAAAGTTAATTTACACATATTGGCTCCTTCAAAAATGTTATACTCAATTGTACAGACAAGCAGAAATAAAGTTACGAGACGATGCACAAAGTTCTTGACCGAGTCAACATGTTCATGATGGAAAAACTCACCACAGCACGATCTAGTGAATCAGCCAATGCTTTTGAAGATGACACATCTAAAAAGAAACCAACAGCAGCAGCTGTTCGCACTAAAGGTTCAAGCATCTCTTTGGTTGGGCTAGGATGTCGTCTGTATGAAAGAGATTAGCATAAGATGTATAATGTAGGCATAGTTCAACTGGCAAACATTTTTTTTTTTCTTCAGAACTAACTCAGAGAAGCAAGACTCTATTGCACTCAGCATTATACAATTCTACATATCTAGGATGATCTACATCGCTAACATTTTAGAAATAGTTGCTATTCATAGTTCAAATTGCTGAATTCCTTCGAGTTTCAGTTGGATATTTAGTAGTCATAACTCATAAGCATATGACTTTGACTTTGAAAACATAGACGTAAGAGCCGGCTAGAGAGTGAGAGCACCTTCAATGGGTGGGTAGATGTCAAAAAATAAATGGAAGAACAGAACTCTTGATTGCATAGTATAACATGAGACTCACCTTAGATAAGAAAAACTGATGAATCTATCAAATGAAAAACTCAATATCTCTGGTCAAAGAGAGAAGCAGAATACCTTAGTAACGAACACAGAGGAAAATGTTTCAGAATTTTTTCAGCCACTGAAACATTAGCAGCAAGCATAAACTCCTCAACCATCTGATTTGCTTCTCGAATTTGATACATTCCTGCAGATACAACATATTGTATCATGTCCAAAAGGTAATAATGAAATCATTAGTGGTTCAAATGAAACATTTATCTGTGAACTTGAGTACTAAAAAACCATAACCATAAACTAGAACATTTCAGACGAGAGTGAACACAATCCAAAAGGGAAATTCTGTATATTTCATTCATTAGAAACTAAAGTAGATAGCCATTTATACAAATACAACGTAGGAAAATAAGTATTAGAGAAATTAGACAATGGATTGAGGAAAATCAGAAACAGATTGAGACAAATCTGAGACAGATTTCCTACTTAATAGGAAAATGCCAGAACCTGCCATCTATCTAAGAATTTGAAATGCATATCTTCTTAGATTTTTCCATACTCCCCCTCAAGCGAGTTTATATACGCCTATCATTACCAGCTTGCTTGTAAGATTTCCAAAAGACGGTCTAGGAAGTCCCTTCATGAGAAATGCCAGCTAATTGTCTATATGCAGGAACAAATGGAATACACATAATTCCAATTTCTAACATCTGCTTAATAAAATAACGATTTACTTCAATATGTTTCGTACTATAATGTTGTAGTGGATTATGAGCAATATTAATGGCAGTTTTGTTGTCACAATCTGCTCCACATAATCTGCCATGCATCTAAGAATTTAAAATGCAAATTTTCTAGATTTTCCACATAGATAAGTGATGGACTGCTACATTGTTGTAATATTTTATCGTCAATATTACTACTGGTCAAATAAGGAAGCCTTTCACCTTTAGTGCATACAACATCTAAGAAACAGAGCCATAGCATTTGTGATACTGATTAATTGGTCCATCAATTTGTATGTTGGTGGTCCAATAGATTAGAATGTTTAATTAGGATTCCAAAATTATAATAATCTTTCTTAGCCCCCGTTTTGGCGCCATTTAAATTATAATCCATTTTTCTCTCTTCTTATCAACCACATATTCTCCAATTAAATAATATTACACGTAAACCCAAAATTTTTCTTCTTTTTTAACCACACATTCTTCAGAAAAACCACTATTCCAAAAATTATAACCTCAAATAATGGGGGGCCAAAGAAGTTACTGGTAAAAAAAAAAAAAAAATCAATCACACTGGAAGAAATTTTATCGGAGAAAGTGAAAAAGATCAACATACCAATATCAAGAGGATCGTGGGTTTCAGTATCAATTTGAAATTTGACTTCAGCAGAAGCAAGAGTTATAGCTCCTCTGTCAATACGTCTTTGCCTCATTACCTGCCAATGAAGGTGTGAGGACACTTCTCATAACTACATAATTATCAACAGAATTTGTGGGAATACCTTCGCTAAAGCATTCATATTTCGTAAATCTGTAGTTAAAGGATCCATCAACCGACTGCAATATGAAAAAACAAAAATATAAACCATGAAAGAAAATAGTAGCTACTTAAAAGCTATTGAACCACTTGATCTAAACATACAAGCTGCTAGAGATGGTCAGATGTATATTATTCAAATTTTGTCTTATTGAACACGCCCTTTCATGTGTGAACTAATTTTTCACTTTCAAAGACTGACACATGCAAAATTTCGTTAAATGGCTGGCGGCAAGGCTAGAGCCCAAGAACTTTACCAGCTCTAATACAATGTCCAACCACTTGATCTAAAAGCTTAAACTATTAGATAACACCGCACGTATATAATTTAAATCTTGTCTTCAAGAAAAGCAGCAGTCCAATTAATTTGTCAATTAAACTCGTGCCAAGAATAAAATAACTAAAAAAGAATAACCCCCTTGTAGAGCCTCAATATTAGCTATCAGCAGTGCAGTGGAGCATACATTTTGCTTTGTTCATTTGAGACGCATAAACTTCAATGTCAGCAATGTGTAATTCTTTTGACAACCACGCATGTAGGTTTAGGACAAACTGATGATCATATTTCAAACGAGAGGGAGATAAAAGAACATGAAAAATAACTGTAGCGCGTAGAAATGGCAGGAAGTAGATCAATTAATGGTCTCAACATAAATATGGAATTTCTTATGAAGGATATTTTATAGTGTTATTTTAAGGAGTGGTATTAGCATCTCCAATAGGCTCTTTATTAGCCTCATTTTCTCTACTTTAAAGAGAAAATCTCTTTTTGAGTTGTCCAATACACCCTTTATCGTAAAAAATTAAAATAAAGAGTAGATTTGACTCTCCAAAAGTATAGAGCCAAATCCACTCTCTACACAATGCTTCAGTTATCATTGCACAATTTTCTATTCACTCCTTGTTTTATACAAAATAAATAAAGGGAAGTGGTAAAACAAGAAAGAGAGATTGTTTTTTAATTTTTTATAAAAGAGGGAGAAGGATGAACAATAATTTCTCAAGGGAAAAAGCAAAAATGATGAATAAATATAGTGTGTTATTGGAGTTGTGGAAAAAGTTTGACTCATTATCTTTAATAATTCTTTAAGATGCTCTTTAAAATGAAGAGCACTACTAGAGATGCTCTTACATGAGACGAGCGTGGCAGCTAGCATTTCAAAATGAAAAGGACAAGACGTGAAAAGAAAATAACCATCACCAAATTACTTTGCATAGCACAATGGCAATCGTAAAATAATCTAAGAGGTGCCTCAATGTGTTAAGAAAACAAATCTGCAAGCACTACCTGTCATCCATTCTTGCCTGAGCCTCAACATACGACAGTGCAGCACTTGATTTAATAATGGTTTTTGTGTATCTTGTAGAAATGATCTCTGCTTCAGGGGTCATTTCCTGAAACATAATCAAATTTAGAAAGATATGGCCATGTTACGACGTGGTTGGTTTAACCATTAACAAGAAACAGCACATCAAGGGGAAAAGTGACTGGTCTGTTCCTCACCTTGTTGGCAATTTATTTTACAAGCAAGCTGTAGATCAAAGCAGATGCCTCGTGACCTTATATTTATAAATAGCCTCGAGAGCTAACTATTTAAATTTCAACTTTCTTTAAATCAAATTTCTATGCTACCAAAAAATGAATCAACAAGATAGTGGCCTTAACTCTCAAGTCGACACATGTTTCCAGCAAGCAACAGAGTCGACAAAAATAGAGAGGCAGTTAATATTCAACATTCCATCATAAATTAAAAGTCCCTTTCGTTGGCTTCTTCATGATACATTCTGTTGACAGCTTGACCTAAAAATAAAACAACTCTGGGTTTCCTGGCATAGGGCTAAAAACAGCGAACTCATAGTTTTTGTAAAGCAATTTAACAGTCTTATGCATCTCATTTATTAGAAAGAAAGTATTATAATTGTATTATTTATCAAGCTATTAAGCTTGACAAAGACAAGAATCTCATCCTTGGGAAGCAAAATGCAAAACATGGCACCTTCCTGGCAGGTTGATGAACTTGACACACAACGTGCATGCAAGTTTCATAGCATTTAAAGAAATTCATACACACATATCAGCACACAGATTCAGCAAACACATAATTCCTTCCAAATGAGAGAAAATGAAAGATTAAAAGGGTGTTTGGTAGGGATTAAAATTAGATTTATTTGTAGATTGTGATAGATGTTTTCGAAATGTTTGGTAGAAAAGTTTTGAGACCCAAGAAAGATGTAGTTAATATTGATTGTTTGACTTTGACTTAGATTAAAATCAGATTTTAATCCAAACCAAGTAGGCTCTAAATGGTGAAATGATAATTCCAAGAAAAGCATGTACCCAAATAACAGAAAAGGCTAGTCTCTCCACATCCGCACGCAGTGAACAAATATCTGCAAAGAACAGAGATGGCATTTCAAAATAAGCTATCCTGAAGCTTTTATGCCCATATATTTAAACCAACAGAGTTATGCAAAAATAGTAACAATTAATTTGACCAATGTTTTTAAGATAAAAGATCACCTTCTGTTAAAGGTTTGGGAAGCATGTCAATCCGTCGATCAACAAGGTAAACAGAAGTACCCCTTTGTGCAGCTTCATCATCTAGTGGAGTTCCAGGGTGAACAAAATTAGTGACATCAGCAATATCTGATACATATCATTAAGGATCAATGTTGGAAGCCAAAGCCATATTTCCAATTACCACTTTAATAGAAAACCATATTCAAAAAGCTTTTTGAATCCAATCCTGTTACAGATTATTGTCATTTAAAAGCTTAAGATATGAGACAGGGCATCCGAGTCGTCCAACACATTAGGTGGTGGCTAGACCTGATCCCCAAAACATTTACATGGTCATTGCCATACTGAATGGCAATAAGAAAAGTTTATTCTACAAGCATCGGGCATGAAACTTTGTAGTATAGAACACTTATGTTTGATTATTTGATTTCAATTATAGTGTTAAGCTTTTGCTTTATAACTCTTGATTGCAAAAGGTTATTTTATATTTTTATTAAGAGATTAAAACAGTTGTAAATACTCTCTATTTCTCCTAACAGTAAAAGCATTTGTATAATATCAAAGTCTTAATTCATACACAACATCAAGGTTGTTCGTGTCATTGTCAATAGTTACAAAAAGGATACGAACTCCCACTTCAAAATTCCCATTTGGAAGAGTTGTACAATGCAATGCATCATCAATGTCCTTGCACCCTGCACCAGCCAGTAAAATAATTGTTTGTCCAAAATATGATTAACACAAATGGACTATTGAACTTATGTGCAGGCAGTCTAAGGGGCTTCAAAAGTGAACAAAGAGAACAGGGATCTAGATCCAGAAATTGTTTATGTTGGACGCATACCTGGAGGATCCACACTAAATACACGTAGATGACGCAAATCCTGCCTAACAGGATTAGCCAAGTCTTCAGAAGACACTGACCATGGTAATGGTGGCAAGCATGCCAAAACTTGAGAAGAGAATGGTCTGGCATCTATATCATTCTCTATCAGCACCACCTACACCATCCATATAAGTGTTATCGCATTGGCACTAACAAATAGTAACTGCTCAAGTACATTACTGGTTCAAGCAAGATAGGCTTCCATATATTGCGATAAAGATTCAGAAGAATGGAAACTTAATTCTAGGTATTGTGGATAGAGATAACAAAAATGATACTTTGATTGAAGTGAGTGAGTGTAACTATCACCAACTCTGTTTATGATTTCAAAAACGAGAAAAAGAGGGAAATCATTAGAACTTACCTCAACCTCAGTCTCTCGGTCTCCTATTTCTCCTATTGTTCTCACATAATGTCCAGAAGGATATCGAGATAAGCAATCCCATGAATCAACAGAAACAATGATTCTTTTGTCAAGTAGATTTCCAAGCTGTCGAGTTTGAATCCGAATCTTGGGTATTCTCCGATCTTTGGAGACAAATAAAGCATGTACAACACTACCATCGCCCGCTGGCATACGCATTGGCTCCAAAGATCCACAATAACTGCAACAAGATTAAGGTAAATAGATCAAATTAAATACAAAAAATCAGATAACTTCTCATTATAACAGAAGACACAATAAAAGTTGTGCAGCAGCAACCACTTTTTTCAATCAAATGAATACTGCCAAATAGACTTTGACCACTATATCACTTCAAAAGCTGTGTTCCAAATTCCAATGCTAAAAAGAAACACATATAAACCCCAAAAGGAATCCTACAACTGAGAGAGTCAGAAAATTAAACCACTTGTAAGCTTCACTGGGATGAAGCTTGATTTTAACTTCTAAGGCTGCTATAGGGAGGTGTTTCGAGGGTAAAAATTGTCCCTCTGGTCCAACAAATTAATTTTTCATTAGGATCAACCACTAATTATGTATTCTTTCCCGTTTGGTGGTTGTAACTTATAAGGTTCTTTTAAGTTTGCATCGAAAATAACACACGGAATAACTTCCTAAAGCAAACCTCAGTGTACTTTCAAGAGATTTAAAGCATGTTAGGAAACTATTTATAAACTGTTTAAATTATAAATATATAGAAATGAATGAAAGATAAATAAATAGTACTTGTGGATTCTATGGAATGTGGAAAAGAATGATTTGACCTATCATAACAGCAGCCAAATATGGGCTTAGCTGCGTGAACAAATGGGAAGAAGCCAACCATGTGTTATGGCTCTCTAAATATGATAAAATGCACAAGAACATGGACAGTAACTTAGAAATGAAATCATACATGTGCACAAATACAATCCTATATTTTTACTAGCACAAACAGTTTTTCAAGAGAAAATTAGGACTAGGTCCCTAAATATGGCGTAGTTTTGGGACCACAACATATTTAAATCTATGAATACCATCAATGTGGATGCTAAAATCGCACACGACTTTTAGCTGAATTAGAGAAAAATATATAGTGATTTAACAGTTTTGCCATCAGCTTCAGTCGCGTAAAAATTGTGTGTGATTTCGGAGTCCACATTGACGATTTGGGTTCAATGAGGACCTACTTTTGATGGTTGAGGACCCAGAATGGTTTAAAAAGATGTGACTGAGGTGTGCCTTTAGTTTCTCAAGGCACAAATTTTTGTGCTATTTCATAGAGGCAAATGCCTCACAGGATGAGGCGCACACCTCAAGGCTCATGCCTCAGGTTTGCTGTAACATTTGAATTTTTTTCTGAGTCTAAATGTGACTTTGAGATGAAATAACCATCATAATTGGGTCTAACTTGTTCTAAAATTAAAACCATAAAACAAAATAAATAAATAAAAATGAGTTCATCAATTCTTTGACTAAACAATTAAATACCTACCCTACCCATGCCTCACCACTTCCCTTTGGAGCTTCTTCTACAAGATTACAAAGAGGGAATCGGTGATTCTGAACCTTAGATAAAATTTAATTTTTTTTTTTTTATTTTTTTTATTTTTTTTTTTTTTTTTTTTTTTTTTAAAAAAAAAAAAAATTTTATTTTTTTTATTTTTTTTTTTTTTTTTGCATTTCGCCTCCCTTCTCCCCCTAGTTCTATTTTTTTTCCTCAAATTCTTCTTTTCTTATTGTATTAAATTTGTACTAAATTTCGTGGTTTGCCGTGGGGGCTTACGCCTCGCCTCACAAAAGAAAAATGTTTTAGTATAGATTTTCGTCTTTTTAAATATTGGGACCATAATCATACCACATGAAAGTTTGGGAAGCCCATTCCTAATTTTCCCCTTTTAACCGAAAAATACCTCAACGTGATGGAAAATTTAATGCAACCCACACACCACCACCCACAAAAGAGTAAAAGAAAGAGAAATCATGAATATCTTCCAAACATGGAAATTTGAAAGAAAAAGAAATGTTTAATCGCCATCAAAACAATCAATCTATATTGCATAACCTTCCAAGAATCCAGTGTTGTCAATTCATATAAGAGAGATTGTAGAATTATTCAAAAAGAATAAAAGGCTCAATTGAACTCCATGCAGTAGAATCTAAACGAGCAGACAGTTTAAAGTCTCATCCAGATTGTTAATTAGTTCAAAAGCTAAACTTCAAGTCTGCTCATACAAATGACGATCAAGGATCATCATTCCACTTCCTTTCTTATAGGATAAGAGCCACGAAACACAAGTACAAACATTGAATGCAAACACAAGACGACATTACATGAAAGTGCCAAGAAACAATTTACAAAAATAAGGACACAACATGCTATGGAAGCATTAAATAATAAATTCATATTTATAACAAATCATCCAAGAACATATTTATAACTTGAAAATGTAAGGTAAAACTATACACGGTCCTGATAATAGATAAATATATACATAAATTTGGGGTTGTTAGTTTCACTGTTTAAGATGAGGAATAAGAACAACGCAACAAAGCACATTACAGGCAGCCAAAATATGATCGAGCTCGTTACACACGGCATAATTCTTGAGTAATGACTCGCTTGACTATTCCTTTTTTGCTACCCCACTAAAAATTTCATACGTCTTGATCCCCAAGAGGTTGTCACAATATATTATTCTACCCATTCTTTTTCCTCTAGAAATTAGATTTTTGATTTCAAAATAGCCATTGGAAGTCTCCCTTTGCATCCTTAACATGACCCTAACATCCCCAGCATATTAAATTAGATAAGGGCATAATTTTAGCGTCCAGCACGTTTGACACCTTTCCTAGCATGTCCAGACCATGTTGTGCCCAACATATAAGACAGACACTTCAGACCACAAAAGCATCTGTAGTTCTTAAAATATGAGCAATGTTTTATGTGCGTGATTGAACGTATCACAATGTCCCTCGAGCAGCTGACACAGAGAGGCAGAGAACAGTGACTCAAAAGCTTAAGAACATAAATAATCCTATTTTCATATCCTATTATTTCAATCAAATTTACCCAATGGTTCAAGGGTGTTAAGAACCCCATAACTGAACAAATCACTAGTTTCAATAAGAAAAATAACTAGTTGAGAAAAACATTTCGCTTACGAGTGCCAGTTGCGTTTTATAATACCAACAACACGCCCAGAGAGACGAGTTGGCATAGCATTCTCGTGATCAGCAGAACCCTGCACCAGATTCGTGACTCTCGGAGCATCATCTGTGCTGTTTGGAGGTAAATGAACGTCATCTTCCTCCTCATCGTCTGCAATACATCAAATAGAATATCTGTAAACCCAACACATAGCAGCTAACATACAATGCAAAGAGAGAAGGTATGATAACAAAAAAAACCTGAATAGACAAGTGAAGTTTTTTTCTGAACATCAAACCATACGAAAGGGTGCCTACATACATTTAAAGTGGCAAGTTTTGAATGGTAAAATAAATCCAATAACATGCCTACAACTTTAATGGACCATTGCAGACATCACCCAGATAACTAGCAATGCATGTTAATATCATGTCTAACTTTTAGTACTTCATTGAAGAAATTGGTTTTTCTCTACATTCAACTATAAAACCTGATAGACTTATGATGAAGCATTTTCCGTCTAGACATAAATGGCCACTGAACTGATATATTACTTTTAGAGAGAGAGAGAGAGAGAGAGAGAGAGAGAGAGAGAAGGAAACATAAGACATGAAACTTGTGGTATAATTGATAACAGATTTGAATTGCTGTGGTCGATTGTATCTGTGCCTTCATGGATCCCTCTATAATGAACAACTGCCTGGTTTCAAACTTTTGAAACAAGGAATTACCAACAACGGCAGAATGTACAGGTATAATTAATCAAAAAGGTTATAATCATTAAATTATGTGCATTACTCTGCAGAACCATTTGAAAACAACACCATAACAAGAATGGATCAAGGGACAGAAGCCTAAAATCAGTAGCAATTATTTTTCACACAGCAAGAAATATGCTTCACTCACGAATAAGAAGAATCTACACCAAGAACAGACCACTGCATAGTCAATCCCTGTATATCGAAATGAATGTCCACTTTTGACTTGTTTCATGTCAATCAAACAGTTTTTTTTGAGATATATTTCAAGATAATTTTTTAATCTATAATTCCACTAACCTTCAGAATGATAGTATGTCCTATGATTTATAGTAAAACGAATCAAACTAGGCATTCATTTTGAAATTGAAGATGTTATGAAAAGGTGAGTGCCACTATAAGCCCTATATAATGCTTCAACATTCATCTCCAATATTTCCTTCCGTTCAATAGTACTTCATCAAGTAAGAAGGGCATATAAATTAAAATTTATGCATAAGTCATAGGTACCCACGCAATAGGAAAATACAAGCATGAACTCGTACAAACCTTCATCCGCTATTACAAGAGATTTCTCCTCTTGCCACTGTTCTTGAGGCAAAAGTTCCACGGCCACTACATCACCATCGAAAGCCCTATTCATGTTTGCACGCCCACATATAATGATTTCCTCACCAATACTTTCACTCCCAACATATGCTTCAAAAGGATTGAAACGATTAACACGAAGTTTCCCTTGGTGGTAAATTCCACGATGCAAACCAGCAGTAATTTCAGACATGGGCTTATGCTGCATGGGAAACAGGTAACAGGCAGCATATATTAAAATGCACAAGAATATAAAAAATAACCAAAAGAAACAATCAGATATTCATCCAGGGAGCACAATTGTGGCCATATGTACCTCAGGATAGATGACTTTTCTCTTTAAGGGCCTCAAATCGTCGACATCCTCCATCGCAACATCTTCAGAGGGAGGCTGAACAATCAGGTCGAGCAGTGATGGTTGATCAAGTGATTTTACATATGACTCAACTGCAGTAGAATTAAAGTCTGTAAGTGCGTGCCTGTAGAGTATGTAGAAGAAGCACCCGGGGGGGGGGGGGTTGTATTGCAAACAGAAGTAGCAGTACAGATAGCCAGCAGAAGAGCATAAAAAATGTACACTTATGTTTTAGAAATAAAATGAACAGTTCAACCCAGCAAACAAAACTGTGTCATAACAATTTCCAACAATTATTATCTACCTGTCTCTGCAGATATGCCCTCCTTGGTTGCCTTCCTCTTGTTCTCTCTATCATTCGTAATAAGGAGGACTCGCACTGTACTACCAAGGTGATTCTGATACCATCGGCTTGCCACCCGAATAGCTGAACCATCAATGTTAGTGTCAAAAAGAAAAAAAATAAATAAATAAATCCAAAAGTTCAGTTATGCACCTAAAACCAATTACCTTTATTTAATAACAGAACATTCTTTAATATAATAAACTCGACCATATAGCACAGTCAAAAGTTTATGTTTGCAGTAAATAAATTCCCTTTATCGTAATAGCACATGGCTAGAAGTTATACAAGATTAAGATTCCCAGAAAATAATCAATTTTAATTTTTTTGAATAGAGAAATGAAAGGATTTCGAGACGTCAATGTATAGCAGTGAATTTGATTTAGGATGAAATTTTCAATGGAGCTTTTGTTGCTTATCCATTCCATATGAAATTCCCTCTTTCTACTAATAAATTCTCTTTCACCTCAAAATTTTAAAGTTAATCCCAGTGTATATGAGCCAAATAACCAATTTTTTTCTTATGTTCCTGAAAGAGCAGTGGTTTTGGGTGTTATATTGTAAATTTTGGCAAGCCTATATAAGTCATGACATTTACACGCAAAGTATTGTTTAAATTTTGCATCTCATTCCCATGCATATCACTTGAACGCTAACAAATGGCTTGGTTTAATTAGGGAGCAAGTTTTTCTGCACACCAAAAAAGCCCTTTTTTTTAAAACTCTCACTACTAGTGTCTTGCATTATCTTATGTCCATTTAACATATGAACTCAATGTTAAATCTATAAAGTAAGCCATCTTCGAGCAAGAAATGTCATACATGCATATATATTTTCTATTTTCGAACATAAAACTACACTAACATTAATATTATCAATGCATGTTTAGCAGAGTTAAAACAAGGTTTAGAGTATTGATTGATAAGTTCAACTTTCTGAATTGAATTCTCTCTGATTGCAATGCTGAGGTTTTGCCAAAAACAATCAGCTAAATGACAACTCAAAATGCTCATAGTATAGAAAAAGGCATCAAGAAACAAATAAAAATTGTCATTTTAATGATAATGCAGAGAACAAACCTCTGTCATTCCTATCATTTGGACTTTCACCGGGTTCAATTTTCACAAATGTATCCCTACAAAAGCAATACAAAATCAATTGCAGCACCAGTAACAGATCAAATTTTCTTCTCTCTTTTTTATAAAAGTTAAAGTAATCAGATTTAACACGAACCAAAGTGGTATGGACATCTAAACTTATTATAGCAAATACAGGAAGAACAGTTGAAGAACATAAAGACGCCAATTAAAATATGAAACATTTTCAAGTGAAAAAGCATATTGCTCAACTTCATACAATATACTGAATGATAAATAATGGAAGGACAAAAAGGTACCAAAGTAATTTCAGACTCAAACTCAAATATGCCTTAACACTTAAAAATAGATTCATGTTCCAGTTTGCTCTAGCAAAGGGTAGTCCCCCCCCCCCCCCCCCCCCCCTTCTTCTTCTAATTTACTTATTTTTTTTTTTTTTTTTTTTTTTTTTTTTTTTTTTTTTTTTTTTTTTTTTTTTACGCTGAAAAGAAATTTTGAGACAAGCCACAAACCTAGAATCAAATGATCACAAGAATCATGAATACACAGCAGATATTCATAACAAAAATTAAGAAAGGAGCATACTTGTGGTATTCATTGGAAAACACGAAGAACCTTCGTAGTGGATTGCTGCAAAGGGCTCGAAGTCTATTATATACAGCAAGATTCTTGTTCTTGACCTCCTCCAACACAATGGATAGCACCACGACGTCCTCTATCGCTAGATTTTCCAACAAATCAATCTAACAAAAATAACACACTTCAAAGTAAAATGCTTTTTACACAAGTAAACATCCAAGTTTTCCAAAGAGATAATGGCTTTACCTGATGGAGGACGACATTAGTATCGACAATGAGAATAGTGGAGGCATTGGAGCTCAGCCGCGCTGCTGAAACATCGCACACATTGCAAAAGGGAGCTCCACAGTATATATCATCTCTCAAATAGTGTTCCCTCACCACCTGCCAATCCAATTATCAGCTAAACCCTAATATTTCAAAATCCTATACCAAACAATAGAACTCTAACAAAGTAATAAAAAATTAAGATTAGGGTTTTGCTGAGAACCTTAATTACTTTGCCTTGCTTTGTTTTCCTGACGAATGACTTGCTCTGCAGCATCCCCAAACTTCAATAATTATTATTGGGAGAATTTTGATTGCAAAATTTGAGAGTTATTTACTCAGCAGTCAATTTTCGCTGATATAATATTTCTCTCAAACTTCAAAACTGTTTATTGGGAGATATATCCGGGGGATTCCTAAAAAAGGCCTAGTCAAGCCTTTTAAAAACTTTTGATACCTATCTTACTCCAAATAAGTTTTTAAGGGTGGGAATTGCTGTAAAAGGCCGGTTGACCAGCTTTAAAACTTTTTTTTGGCCTTTAACCCAATTTTTTACATTTAAAAGAAAAGGAAAAAAATTTCATTTTTTATTTGCCGTTAATACCCTTCTGCCCTAAATGATTCAAACAATCCAAATCGAAATCAATTTCAAACACATGAAGAAGAAGAAATCAGTTGGCCTTTACCTTCCTTGTTGGGAACGTAGAAGAAGAAATCGGTTGGCCATTTACCTTGCTTGCTGGGTTCTTCTTCTTTTCTGTCATTGTTGTATTCAGCTACCTTGTTGTATTGTTTTATTCACCAATATCCTTGTACTCAGGGCATCGAAATCGAATTCATAGTTGGCGCTGCCGATGAGGATTTAGCCAAATTGAGACAAAAATCCGCTTGCATTGCGATCGAAAATGAAGTTCTCACTTACAACATCTCCTTTCCCTCCTCCAACCTTCTCTCGGCCATGAAAACCATCCACATTGCTTTGGTCAATCTCAACCTTGATAAACAGGTTATGGTTACCACAGCCCTATGTTTCTTTTTCTTAATTCCGATTTTCCTGTGGTTTGAAGTTTAGATTTTAATGATAATCTATAACAGCTAAAAGTTTACCCATTTGGATGTATTCTTGTAATCAAATTTGAATTCTTTCTTCATATTAATGTGATTTTTATTTGTACCTTGAAAGAAAGTTGTGTGATTGAAAGAAATAGAAAAAATAACTACCCAAAATACAATTTTAATATAAAAACAAAGTGGGTTTGTTCACTAAAGAAAGCAGAATTATGTGCTTTATTTTTTTTACAGTTTCTTTACTTTGTTCATTAAACAAAGTGGGTTTTGTTCATTAAAGAAAGTAGAATTCTGTGATTGGAAATTGATTAAAGGTTACTTGTGCCTCATCTATAATCTCCTTTTCCTTGGGTTTGTTTAAGAATTCATATTATGCTTGAATATGCTTAGAAATAGTAAATTTAAGTTGTATTTAAATCTTGACAAGATATACCGATGTTGTCTCCCTTCCATCCTCCCTCATCTAGTGACTTTACATCCAGCCTCTTCCATGGCTCTCGACAATAGCCTCTTCTAGATTAGTTTCTATTTATTTTTTTCTTTCTTGTCTTTGCTTTTGATTTATTTATTGTTAACAATATATTTTCAACGTATAAATGAAGGACTTTTCCCCTAATGGTTCTTGTGCTTCCAGCACATGATGGGCCTTTCAAAATATTCTTTTCTTCATAAGTGGTACAAACTACAAAGAACAAGTTTAGCAAGTTAAGGGGGGGGTCTTTTATGAAGAAAGCAACGTACATATCCTAGGTAGATGAGTATTTTAATCTTTTTCTTTCTTTCTTTTCTTTTCATTTTGCTTCTCTTGACAGATAAGAGAACACTTTCATAAAAATGGTACAAAAAGTCAGAACTCAAAAAATATACAAGCTTCCATCACAACAAAGAAAGTAGAAGTTACTTCACATTTATAATTCATAACTATGGTTCCTTTTGTACATATAGATAGAAGTTACTTCATTACTTGAAAGACGATGGTTATGTGATTAACATTGGTGCCTATGTATTTACTTTCTGATAGTATTTGAAGTCATCATTACTAATATTGTCATGCCACTTACAGGATGGAGTAAATATACAACATCGGTGATTGATGTGATGCAAAGGTCACGACACGTTCTAATGTGTCAAGTGTGGAGAAAGTATATGATGCATTAGATGATGTTCTTGAATCCGTGCTTCGATAAATTATACAACATTAGGAATATGTTAATATCTGCCCAACTAATTCACAATTTATTATTACGACGGCTTCCCTCTGTGAATGAGGATGAACTATGGTTTTGTTTAGGATTGGAAAAAAGTTGCCCATTTTTCTTTTGTATGAGTTTATGCTAGTTACATGATTAACCCTGCTAATGAGGAGGAGTATCAGATCCAAATAAATGAAAATGGTATATTGAAAACTAAATACTTCTCAACATCAAGTAAGGTTAGCCTAAAGAATTAAATGAGGTTTTCAAAAAAAAGGATAGAAGACATGGATGATAAATATAAATTGGGTTTAGTTCTTATATATGAGACAGTGTTAAGGTCCCAAAAAAAAAAAAATACATCTATAGATCTTCACGCCTTAGATATAGTTGATGATTTGGAACTATTTAATGGATATCCATGGAGAACAAAAAGTTTTAAATTTACAATACATGCATTCCTATGAGTGTCGAAGGATCCGAAGCCCAAATATTCTTTGTGAGGGTTTTTACTTGCGATACAGGTAAATGGTCAAAACTTATAATTTAAACATTATTTTTATTTGATTTTAAATATTTGTAAATAACTTAGACATCTTCTTTCAGGTGTGGGCGTTCGAGTCTATTCCACAAATAGCAAATATATATCATGGTAGGTTAACTGTCAACGAGCTATCGAGAATGTGCCGTTGGAAATCAACATTTACTTCTAATTCTCATGATATTGCTGAAGTCATGGATGACCCACAAGTGAATTTATCTTCTATATTGTAATTACTTTTGCACGTTACCTCAAATATTATATTCAAGTATACCATATTTAGATTCTAAGTATGCTACTTACAGTAATGTATAATGTAATATGAAGTAAGTATCGAACTTCTAACAATATAGATCGTATTTGAATAAGCAAAATTGTAATGTATAACATTTTATATCTTATTTGGTTAGATTTCAAACTATTTCGTACAAAAATGTATAGAAAAACGAGCATATAAGCGAAAAATGAGATGGGAATTTGAAAATCGATTAAAGTTTTGTTACATGACTGCATCATTTTCATGTAAACGACAGGAGTCGTTTAAGGCGACTATGGCGGTCGTTTTCTTACAAAACAACTCTAGTCATTTTAAACGACTTGAATTGTTTTTGTTTTTAAGGAAAAATGATTGCAGTCGTTTAAAACGATCAAAGTTATTTTCCAACTATCATTTATTATATGAAATAAACGATTATGAAAAAACTATCCAATATTCATAAAATACAAATTTGGGATGAATTATGACAAAAACTCAAAACATAAAATATAAATTGTAATAACTTGTCATGACATTCTATCAACTAAACAAACAATATACTAATCCTCCAATCTTCCATCGGCTAAATGTATCTGACTTGTACATGTTAGCCGGTTGTGCCCAGTTGCGTCACACCTACTACATTTGTGTCTTTTGGGAAACTCTCAAGCAGATGAAATCCTTGTTGTTTTAGTGCGTCCACCTCATCATTGTACTAATGGCGAAAAACATTGAGGAAGCCAAAATTTTCTTTCCCAATCAACTTCATTTGGCACAGGAAAAATAGTATCGTTATAAACTACTCTCTAATACTCAACAATATAATACAGATAGTAGAGCAAGTAAATTGAATAGCCACTCTTCTTCACCGCAGCTATTGCATGCTCGCAAGGTAAATGTTCTAATTGAAATCGTCTAGAAGTACAAGTTTTTTCATCCGGGTTAATAACAAAATTCATGGTGTCGTTCCTCACTTCATACGTAAACTGATCGATCGGTTTGGAAATAAACTTCTTGGCTTTATCAACATTCTTATACAGTTTTCCTTCAATAATTGGCGTTAGAGTACTAGTATAGCTCTGTGCATTCGCACGCTTTTTCTAATACTC